CCAGGCTGACGAGTGAACGTAGCAAGGTGACGGCCAGTCCGTGGGCACTTACAGATCGCCACACGCTGTCCTCCAGGAATGAAGGTATCAACCCATTCATCCTGGAGAACTGCGTTGCTCAACAAGTTCGTCGAGAACGCGGGGAGGTGGAGACCTGAGAGAGACCTAGATGGGACTGCCGGACACGGGAGGACAGTGGAGGCTCGCGCAACTACTGGGCCCTCAGTGGGGTCACCCAGTGAGACTGGGAGAGGTGCTGCGAGTGGTGTGACTGTGGTGCAATCACGAAAGAAGCAACGTGACGCGCCTGAGTCAAGCGTGAAAGTGTGCAAGGCCTCAGCTGAGGCAGGACCTGTGGCAGTAGACGCACTAGCACCTAAAGCGTCGGCAGACTCACGAGCACCTAGCGCTGCAGCAGACTCACCAGCACCTGGAGCGATAGCAGACTCACTAGAACCGAGAGCAGCAGCCTCTACACGACCAGGGACGCATCGCTGAGAAGCACAGTCGCGAGGTCGTTGAGGCCACATAAAACCAAAACCTCCACCACCAGGACTACTTCGTTGAATAACCCACTCACGAAGCTGCTGAGGGGTGGGGTCGTCCAGGAGAGGCAGTGACCGCTGCTGTCCACCCCTAGCCGCTCCAACTGCCGTGATAGAGGCCATGACAGGCAGTGACGGTCAATAGTAGGTCCAGCACCTCCAGCACCAGCAGCACCTCTAGTACTCCCAGCCGCACCTCCACCACCAGCAGCCGTAGCACGAGCAGCAGCAGCAGCAGCAGCAGCAGCAGCAGCAGCAGCAGCAGCAGCAGCAGCAGCAGCAGCAGCAGCAGCAGCAGCAGTAGTAGCAGCAGGGCGGCTCGGTGGGGCTGGGTGGCGGCTCCTCCAGCACTCCCAGCAGCACCTCCACCAGCAGCAGCAGTAGCACGAGCAGTAGCAGCAGCAGTAGTAGCAGGAGGCCAGCTCGGGCTGGGCGGCGTGGCTAGGCCTGGGCTGCGCTGCTCAGTAGGGCACAGCGCAGAGGTAGCAGCATGTGCAGTAGCAGCGCGCTGGGCAGCAGGTCGCGCTGGCTTTTTTTTTTTTTTTTATGATGATTATTATTATTATTTAGGGTTGCGGGGCGCACTGGCGCGCTTTGCAGTGGGGCGCGCTGGGCTGCGGGGCGCGCTGGCGCGCTTAGCAGCGGGGCGCGCTGGCGCGTTGGGCTGCGGGGCGCGCTTGCGCGCTGGGCTGCTGGGCGCACTGGCGCGCTAGGCTGCAGGGCGCGCTGGCGTGCTTAGCAGCGGGGCGCGCTGGTGCGTTGGGCTGTGGGGCGCGCTGGCGCGTTTAGCAGCGGGGCGCGCTGGTGCGTTTAGGGCTGCGGGGCGCGCTGGGCTGCAGGGCTGCTCGCGGGCAGAAGGGGCGCGCAGGGCAGGGGCTGCTCGTGGGCAGCAGGGGCGCTCGGGTCAGGGGCTGCTCGCGGGCAGCAGTGGCGCGTGGGGCAGGGGCTGCTCGCGGGCAGCAAGGGCGCTCGGGGCAGGGGCTGCTCGCAGGCAGCAGTGGCCTGCGGGGCAGGGGCTGCTCGCAGGCAGCAGGGGCGCACAGGGCAGGGGCCGCTCGCGGGCAACAGGGGCGCGCGGGGCAGGAGCTGCTCGCGGGCAGCAGGGGCGCGCGTGACAGCACGGTAGCGCGCTAGGGCAGGCAGTGCGAGTAGCTGCAGGGCAGCGTGACACTGTGCGAGAGGGCCGGACAGCGCAAGGGCGCTTCGGGCAGGAACTAGCGGAACTATCGGTGGGCCCTAAAAACCTAACAGGTTTCCTGCTCTGAACACCATGTCAGAATCAACTGTGCAAGAATGGTTGACTAACAAGCAAGGATGAGTACAAGTACTAGGTTTGACCTAAAGTGTTGTACTCAGTAGAGGCTACCCCACTACAGCCTACACATACAAATGTAATTTGACACATCTCGTAGTACTGCCGTCCCCCGTTTCCCCAAGGCAGGCCGATTCACTCAGAGCACCCTGAGGATTGCTAAGACGGGGGTTCCACACGTTCGCATCGTCTCACGCCCCACCACGACGCCTAGAGTAGGAGTTCCAGCAACTCCACCAGCAGCTCATGCGACGTGTGATCCTGGCCCGTCAAGGAGCACCATCAATGTTCCTGATCCAGACGCCCCGATGGAGAAACTGCACTCACTGTCGAAGGATTATTGGAAGGGTAAGTTCAAGTGGCTGATCATCACGCAGAGGAAGGACGGGACTCTGTGCATGAAGTGCAGCATATGCATGGCTCACGGTCCTGCCCATTGGAAGTTCGGGAGTCTAGGAGAGGGTGGCGTCGACATCCAGCGGCAAACGATGCAGAAGCATGCTCTCAGCAGGAAGCATCAGGACGCCGTCAATGCGAAGCTGCGGATGAAAAGCCTCAACACCCTCATCGGATCGAAGCTCTTTCTGCCAGACGCATACCCCGAGGGTGCCGCGAAGAGAGAACGCCACTGGGCGGCCTAGTTCCAGTATCTCCGCTAGTTGTTCATGGCGGAGAAGTGCTTACTGCCAGGTAGGTGGATGGATGTGGATCTTGTTACAAACATAGTGTTTGTTCCCCAAAACTGATCTCCTCCCCCCCCCCCCCCCTTTTCCTTGCTACTGTGCGTGAGCAGGAGTGAGCACGAAGAAGGCGGCACGGGAGCTTGTGCCGCTCACCAAGATGATGGCCTCGCAGTACAAGGACCAGACATTCCACGCCTGTCTGAAGCACATGTTGCGCAGTGAAGATTGGGAGACGACCTACCCCAACATGGTCTGCCTCTGGATCGCGGTCACCGTGCTGCCGTTGAGCACCGTCGAGTGCGAGCGGCTTCTCGAGGCAGGATGTGACAAAATCTTGGCTACGCGGAAATCTGTGCAGCACACGCCTGGCAGATTTGATGTCCGTCTCGCTGCTGCAGTACGAGCCGAATTGGGACGAGGTGGTGGCTGCTTGGAGGGGGGCAAAGAAGAGGCGACTGGCCAGGGAAGTGACGATGAAGAGCACTCATGCGCGAGCGCCTAAAAGGAAGGCAGATGGAGGAACGACAACAACTGAAACTGATGAAGAAGACGAAGATGAGGAGGAAGATGGGGAAAGGCAGAGGACGAGAAAGAAGGGAAAGACACCAGCAGTTGCAACTGTCCTTGAAAGTGATGATGATGAGGGTAGTAATGGGCTTGATGTCCCTGCCACAGTGCTCCTTGATTCTGACACTGGGTAGATAGAGTAGAGTAGAGTAGAGTTATTTGTAGTAACAGACTCAAATGATTAATAATAAACTTGGTAGATAGTACAAACCCCTGAAAATTAAAAAAATTCAGCAATTAGCACCATTAAAAACACTAAATAGAAATGAAAAAGCATTTTGGTAAGATACATAAGGAATAGATTTTAAAAATTTCTGACCAATCAGACAGGAAACTGAGATCCTACTGATGGAAAAGACGGACCTCGAGGGCCCGTCTTATGCATCAGGAACCCTCAGATCCTTGGGACAACCCTGTCAGAGGTCCATTGGTGATCCCCGATTCATCCTAAGGAGGGGTTACAGGCAGGGCTGACGTTTCATTTTAAGCCTCCCTGATTCCGGGGAAAATTTTCCCCCTCTATTATGGGTGCACATTTTCCAGAAAAGTAGTACCCTGATTGCTCAGGGTTGTAAAGTAGTTAACACTGATTGTTCAAGGTCGAGAACTGAACATCAGAGTAGTAACGCGCGCTTTGTTACCGGTGAAAATATCCCCACTCTCCATAAAGTCTGCGCGCTGTGTTTCCTGCTGGCTGTACACTCGACTGATTTGTGCAGGGCGGGTGTGATTGACCTATCTGGTGTGCGAGTGTAACGTTTCCCTGTCTTATTACCATGCCCAATTGGATCTCTTCAGCTGGCATGCATCAGACACGCTGCGACTGTAGTTAGTCACCGTCAGAGGCGTTCCTTCTGGAGCGAGTGTACCGATCGAACGGGCGAGTCACACCTGTTCGAGTCACAGATTTCCGCTGTCAGAGCCTATTTCGACCAATCACAGCAAAGTATATCTGACATTGCAGATTCACGCGATCTCGATGGTAGGTGTAACAGAACGAAGTTTCGAAGAAACTTCGTCTCGATAAAGCGGGAAGGGGGGGGATTACGCACATGTGGGGGGATCACTGCGATCAATCCAAGGCGGGGTCATCGGAAGGAAACTTCCGAGAAACTTCCTCTCGATAAATCAGGGTCCACACAGTCGATACTCTGTTAAGTCAGGGTCCACTAACAGCCTAGTCTGTCACACTGTACTCAAAATCAGGGATAGCTAAACTATTACTCTGATTGGATCAGGGCTGGAAATTCAATAACTCTGAAATTTCAGTCTCCACGAAGTGGAAAGCCTGAAATCACCCTGAAATCAAGGTAATTAACCTGATAAAATCAGCCCTGGTTACAGGCTCGTTCGCCAGGGGGGTTATGGGCGCACAAACCCGCTACTTAACAAGTCATTTTATCCCAGTGGTCTAGTGACAGGGATTCTGACATGGTATCAGAGCAATAGTCTCGGGTTCGAATCCTAGTGTATGCACTTCGGGCATCCCAGTGCGGGGGGGTGCCAGAGGTCTACTGATGAGCGCACTGACCCGCTATTTAACAAGCCATTTTATCCCAATGGTCTAGTGGTTGGGATTCTGACATGGTATCAGACCGGTCCCGAGTTCGAATCCCGGTGTATGCACATGTAGGCCGTTGCCGCTGTGCTCAGTCCTGGGCCTCTCAGCGTGGGGGGGTGTCAGTAGATATGCATTGTGGATGCCCGATTAATCCTAGAAGGGGTTACAGTCGCGTTCGCCTTGGGGGTTATGGGCGCACAAACCCGCTACACAAACAAGTCTTTTTATCCCAATGGTCTAAGTGGTTGGGATTCTGACAAACCCTGGTACCCACCTGGCATTTTCTCATTTGGTGCTACTAGATGCCTATTGGCTATGGTACATCCGTGAGGCTACTGCTGAGTGTCTCTGCTGCTGCTGTGTCTGTGTCTCAACTCCTCAGCCACACTCGGACCCTGCTCTGCTGCCACCTGGTACTCTCCCACAACCCCGTTCCCCACCCCACCCACCCCCTTCTTTTTCCCCTTCCCCTTCCCCTCCCCACTGTCATCCCTACCAGCAGTGCCATGAGCCGACCTTTCCACATCAGCAGCGCCACTCGCGCTGTGATTGGACACCAGCGGTGCACTGGCGCACATGTGGCGTGCCATGGTGGAGAGCCGCATCAACCGTCGCCGCCTCTCTCTGCGCTCGATCTCCTGCACCACCTCATGGTCACCCGGGCATACATGCCTGGAAGGAGACACAGGAGGAGGTGGGGTGAAAGGGGAAGAGAGAGTGAGCATCAAGGATAAAAGGGTTGAATGCTTGAGGTGCCACGGTATTGACCTCCACAACTCCCACTGCTTCCCTTTTCACTTGATCCACTGCACCAGCTGCTCAATTCCTGGACACACATTGGTGGGGACGATGGAGAGCAGAATGCGGTGCGAGACTGAGCAGATAATACGAGGCATCAAGGCTCCCCATCCCTCCCATCCCGGCCCAGCACCCCCAAGCCTCACCTCCAGATCCCCCGGATAGCGTAGGAGGGCAGCATGGCGGCCACGACGGCGAGCAGCAGGTTGAGCCAGAAGCTGGCGGCGGGCAGCAGCTGGGCGGCCACTCCCACCAGATTGCCGACCCACTTGGCGGGCAGGTAGCTGCCGACCATCATGAGGATGAAGAAGAAGACGATGGAGCCGAATATGGTGAGGAAATGCAGTGCGTTCCAATACTGTTGGTGGGGAGGCAAATGTAAGGGGACGGAGAGGGGGGGAGAGGGAGGAGAGGGGGAGGAGGAAAGAGGGGAAAGAAAGAAAGAAAGGGAGTGCATTTGCATGTTAATGGTTGTGTTGCTTGGAGACATGCGTTTTGAAAACGTCAGAATGATGTTTGGCTGGGAGGGCAGGGACGAAGGAAAGCGGGAGAAACTAGAAGGCGGGGAAGTGCAAGCAGTTTGGAAGGCTGGTACGGAGGAATGTGAGCCCCACGGCACTCACTTGCACAGACATGCTGCTGCCATCACTAACAAATCCGTCCACACACTCCCTCACGCGCACAGCACAGCACGGCAACAGCAAGGCACCCAGACACGTCACCTGCACGTTGGAGCCGAGTTCAAGGTTGACGGTGGTGACGACGGCAGCATACATGATGGTGCCCACGGCCGTGAGGTCCAGGATGAGCCCGCTGCTGCGGTCGGGCACGAGGGCGAAGGGCAGCAGCGTGAGTGTGAAGATGATGGCGGCCTGCACCAGCCCGTTCACCATCCAGCTCGCCACATTCAGCACCGAGAAGTACTCGTTGCGCTGGCCCTGTGGGGCAGGGGGGAGGGCGGGGAGAGCGAGAGAAAAAGGGTTAGTCCCCTGGGACGAAGCTTTAATGTGTTGGCTTGATCATCCCCATGGGTGTGTTGGCTTGATCACCCCCATGGGTGTGTTGGCTTGATCACCCCCATGGGTGTGTTGGTTTGATCACCCCCATGGGTGTGTTGGCCCAGCCACCACAAGTGGCCACCCACTACCTCGTCTAGGTGGTTAGGTTGTTATTATTGGTTTCTCCCACTTGCTTATGCTAATAAAACACACACCTGCAAAAGTTTTAGATACCGAAGGGGTGTGGTGTGTAGGTAGCAAGGAAGCACGGCACACCTATACACACAGCTGCCCCACACGCCGTGAAGCACCCACCTGCTTGTAGAGCTGCAGGTAGCACAGGCTGTAGACAGCCTTGACGTCCTGGTCCATGACTCCCACCACACCGATGGGCAGCGAGGGAGCAGCGGCACAAGCATAGGTTCACATACGTGTAGGTACTGCTGCCCCACACACTCACAGCCACCCACCTGCTTGTAGAGCTGTGGGTAGCGCAGGCGGTAGACAGCCTTGACGTCCTGGTCCATGACTCCCACCACGCCGATGGGCAGCGAGGTGAAGAAGACCATGAAGAGCGTGAGGTACCAGTCGTAGTACACTGCTGTGCCGGAGAAGTATGCGAGACAGTTGTAGAAGAGGATGGTGAAGGCGAACACGAAACACTTGTAGAAGAAATAGGTTATCTGCATGGTGCAAGGGGGTGGTGGGATGGGGTGGAATGTGATGAAATGGGATGGGATACAAAGGACGGAAAGACTTATTGGAGAAGAGGGTGCGCACTGTGGGATGGCATGGGATGGCGTGGGATGGTATGAAATGGCATGGGATGGCATGGGATGGCATGGGATGGCATGGGATGGCATGGGATGGCATGGGATGGCGTGGGATGGCGTGGGATGGCGTGGGATGGCGTGGGATGGTATGGGATGGAATGGGATGTGCACTCACCAGAATGCAGATGCGCTTGTAGCACCATCCCCCATGCACCAATAACAGCCGCTCCAGGAATCTGAACTGACCAATGGCAAAGTCTGACGCCATGACAGCCTGGCCATGGGAGACAAGCACGGGGGACAGGAGAGTGAGCATGTGGGGCGATGAATGCTGGTACAGGGAGACACAATGGGTGGTGCACAATGGCCGTCACAGCCGAGGCAGCCATGCCTTGCTGTAGCGTGGATGCTGCATTTGTTATTCCTCTGTGCCACAAGACTACTCCTCACATCCCCACTCTCAGATACACTGACATGCGGGCCATGAAACCACTGTGACTCCCCTGGCTTTGTATCTCCCCGTCCCCTGCTCCACCTGCTGCCAGTCCCTCCATTCAATCTCAATGCTAATGCTTCCATTCCGAACAGTGCCCATGTCACACGCACGCACACCTATCACACCTTTACTGCCCAATGCCCATATATCATAAACCATTCCCCTCACCTGCTGCCCCTCCTCGCCGCGAATCCCCACGCCAATGTTCGCCTTCTGGATCATGCCCACGTCGTTGGCCCCATCTCCAATGGCGAGGCAGATCTGCTTGCCCTCGCGCCGCACCATGGCCGTCACCTGCGCCTTCTGCTTCGGCGACACGCGGCAGCAGATGACGGACGCGCACTGCAGCGCCAGCTCCAGGAAGGCGGCGCGCAGAGCATCGTCCGCCAGCACCAGCGCCAGCGCCTTGCCGTCTATCACCACCGCATGCTCCTGTGCCGCCCCGCCCTCACTCCCACTCTCACTCCCACTTCCACCCTCGCCCTCGCCCTCACCCTCACCAATGCCCCCGTCCCCTCTGTGTTCCTGTGAAGGGTGATCAACACGGTTGCTGGTTCTCCCACTGGCCATTGTGCTGCCTGCCTGCTGTGGGCCTGCCCACTGTGCGCCATGCACGGACTCACTGGCTGCCAGGATCTGCGACCGCACCAACTCCGCTGCAAACTGCAGCAAGGGGAAACCGGGGGGGGGTGGGGAGGGCGCAATAAGGAGTTGGGGAGGGAGTGGGGTGGGGGGAGTGAGAAGGCGTTGAGGCGAGGGAGTGGTTCGTCAATCAGTGAGTCAGAGCTGCCAAAAATTGAGCACGCAACAGAAAGGGTAGGTGGGGGAAGGGAAAAATGGGTGCGGGAGGTAGGAGCGTGGAAGGGTTGGGTGTAGCAGAGCGGGAAGTGTGGAGAAGTAAACATCGGGTTATGGATTGGAAGAGACGATTGCACTGTGACAGAAAAAAATATCTAAGGCAACTGGCAGGAGCATTTGAATCGACCCAGGGACAGGCAGGCAGCAACAGGCAGGCAGCACAGCACAGCACAGCACAGCACAGCACAGCACCGCACAGCACCGCACCGCACAGCACAGCACAGCACAACAGCGGTGTCACTCACCTCCTCGAGTGGCACGCCCCTTCTGGCAGCCTCCTTGGCAGCGGCATCATTGTCCTCGAGGAAGACGAGGTGCTGCTGCATGTGGTGGCGCAGCAGGCTGCACGCAAACCCGATGTTGATCGCCGTCTCCAGCTTGTCCCCAGTCAGCACCCACAGCTTTATCCCCGCCTGCGCCAACGCCTCTATTGCCTGCGGTACTCCCACCTGGTGCAGGCATCGGGGGAAGCAGGAGGAAGAAGCAGGCGAGGGGGCAGAAAGGGGACAGGGGGAGGAGCATGAGAGGATGCGGACAGGAGGAGCGCAGCAGTGACTCGATGGCCTGCTGGACTCCCACTTGTGGACGCAGCTGGTGAGACGGCGGCCCACAGCCACAGCTCCCCTGCCCCCCAGTGTGCTCCACCTGCCGCCCGCCCTCACCAGCAGCCCGACCTCACCTGCAGCCCACCCCTACCTGCCGGCCTTGCTCACCTGCAGCTTATCCTCAATGGCGGTGGCGCCCACGAGCATGAGTCCACTCTCCAGCTCGTCAGCCAGCGCCTCCAGCCGCTCCGCCTGCACACCTGCGTCTGCCACGTACCCCTTCGCCTCCACCCACCGCTGCTGCCACGCCGCGTACTCCTCCTCGCCCACCTCCCTCCACGCGATCGCCAGCGTCCTCAGCCCCGCCTCCGCATACATGGTCATGTGGCGCTCCGTGATTGGCCGGTACTTCTGTGCGTGCTCAGAGGCCCCGAGGCGGTCCATGATGATGCTGTCGGCGCCCTTGCAGAGCAGCAGCAGGCGCCCCTCTGGCGTGCGCACCACCACTGACATGCGTTTGCTGCGCGCACCACGGGGGGTGCAAGGGGGCCGGAAAAAGAGTGACGTAAGAGAATGGGCTAAAAAGTGGGGATAAATGCATGGGGTACAAGAGGAAAAAAAGCAGGGGGAGAGAAGAGGGGAGGAAAAAGGCCGGGTAAAAGGGGGTGGAGGCAAAAGTGTTGGGAATAAGGCCAACGAAACGAGTGAGAAATAAGGGCGATAGGGAAGAGGAAAGAGACGGACGGGGGTTGTGACGGGAAACGAGGACGGAAAGAAGCAGAAGTAAAAAAAAAAAGCGACACTCACCGGTGGCTGGTGAACTCGAGAGTGTTGAGCAGCTCATACGAACGGTCCTGCACCACACTCCACCGCGCCCCGTATTCGCGCACTTTCAGCTCGTTGCCCTGCCGCCCCAGGAACAGGAACCCCAGGCGCTTGGCCGCCACCACAAACGCCGCCTCATCAGGCGACTCTGCCAGGAACCTCACCGCCTCGCCATCCACCACCTCCCCCCCCCCCGGCATCAGTGGTGTGTCTCCCCCGCCTCCCCCTTCCCCTGGCAGCAGCGGCGTGCCCCCTCCGCCTGCGCTTGCACTGGCCGCCCCGCCTCTCACACTGGACCCCGCACTCGCCAGGCTCACGCTGCTGCTGCTGCTCTTCATCCCCCCTGCGTCACTCCCCAACACACCCCCACTCCCCACGCCAGCAGCACTGCCCATGGCAAAGATGTTACTGCTAGCAGCGCGCTCAATGGGAGCCGTGTCCACCACGACAGTGTGGCACACCGACAGCACCTCTAAGAACCGTCGGATCTCATCGGCACACGGCTGCTCCACCCACTTCATGCCGTCCAGCCGCGGGTCGCGCATGTTAAAGCCCTTCTCCAGCGGCCTCTCCGGCACGTACACCTGGTCATCGTCCTCGTCCTCTTCTGGGGGAGGGCGGCCTGCGCGCTGGGCGGCGGCCTTCTCGACCTCGGTGACGCCCATGCCGTAGGGCGTGCCGGCGATGGAGCACTTGAAGAACTCCATCTGGTTGCGCGTGAGCGTGCCCGTCTTGTCTGACAGCACCGTGCGCACCTGCCGGGCGTGCCAAGCGCAGCGCAGGGGCGGGTGGAAAGGCATGCAAGGGGACAGAGGGGATTTGTTGAATCAACCGCGCCCCTCTTGCCCCCTAGCCCGCCCCTCAGCCCATAGTCCTCAGAGACAGCTCCTCTTCCGTCGCCCTCCACTCCTCCCCTCCCCTGCATCGTCCCTCAGCATGCCACCCACTAACTGCACCGTGCCTCACCATGCCGAGCTCCTCGTTGATATTAGAGGTGCGGGCGAGGGCGGGGATGTCCTTGTCGTCGTAGTACATGTGCAGGTCCAGTGATATCGTCACCGCCTGCAGCAGCTTCACTATCTCCATCGTCACATACAGCGATATCGGCACAAAGTAGCCTGTAAGGCGGGGGGGGAGAGGGGGTTGGGGACACAAGATGGGGGACAGACGAGCAGAGAGGAGACGGATGAGAGGAGAAGAGGCACCGTGTGCTCAGCACAGCGGCAGTGGCAGCCTGCAGCAGCTTCACTATCTCTGTCGTCACAAAGCGAGATGGGCACGTAGTAGCCTGGGGGGGGGGGGGGGGGTGGGGAGGCGGGAGGGGGAGGGTAGGGACCAGGCACAGGGATGAGCGGAACGCATGCACATGCATAGGGTGGTAGTGGCACCCTGCGGCCACTTCACCATGTCCAGCATCATGTGCTGAGCGAATGGCATGACGTAGCCTGCAGGAGAGGGAATGAGAGGCGTGGGGATGAGAGGGGTGGGGATGAGAGGGGAGGGGATGAGAGGGGTGGGGATGAGAGGGGTGGGGATGAGAGGGGTGGGGATGAGAGGCGTGGGAATGAGAGGGGTGGGGATGAGAGGGGTGGGGATGAGAGGGGTGGGGATGAGACGGGGGGATGAGAGGGGTGGGGGGAGGGGATGCGTGGGGGGGGGTGAGATGGGAGGGGATGAGAGGGGAGGGGATGAGAGGAGAGGGGATGAAAGGGGGGGGGAGAGTGGGGGGAATGAGAAGGGAGGGGATAAGTGGAAGGAAGGAGATGGAGGGAATGAGCTGGAGGGGGGACAACAGGGAGCGGCAATCGCCATACCATAGAGCACGAGGCATGTGAAGAACTGCAACACGCCCGCCAGGGCGGGGTTGTCCGCGTTATACTGCGCCTTGTTAAGGCCCGTGAGCTGCGCGTTCTGATCCAGCTCCAGGTACCACATGTACTGTTCCTGGTACGGCAGCCGCGCCGCGAAGACCGCTGCGGGGAAGATCGCGAGAGACAGCATGAGAACGAGCTCGAAAAGGATGACGTAATCTAGCCGCCTTTCCACGAAGCTTCGCTTGGACGGCGGATCCGTGGCGTTCATCATGATCTTCGTCTCGCGCCCCGAGTACACCACCAGACCCACCGCGAACCGCGTGTTTCTTAACTTGGAGCCGCGAAGGAGAATGTTAGTCGGAGATAGGAAAATAGGCGTCTCTTGAAGGCCCTCGAGGCGCATCTTCCCCGTGAAAGTGTAAATCGAGACGTTAGGATGCTCGCACTCCACAGTGCCTCTTAATCTCGCCAGCTGTGACCCGTCGAGCGAGTACGTCTCGTGAAGCGCCTGGCGCAACTTAAGATTAGTCTCGCCGTCCAGATTCATCGTTTCTACGTAACACGAGCCGTCGTCGCTGCTGCTGGCTAAGCAGATCAAATCCGCGGGAAAGTACGTGTCGCCTTCTACTTGAACTATGTCGCCGACTCTTAACTCTCTCCATTCCCGCATCGCTTCCGACCCATCCGGCAGAATCACGCGTATTTTCCGCTTATTCGTCTCGTAGTCCGACGCGCCGCGTTTAATATCCTCCCAGAGTTCCTTAAGCATGGCGAGGCCGATGACGAAGACGAGAGGCGTGATGGTGGTGATGGGCATGACGGGACTGAGTGGCGTGAGGGAAATGATCGCGTTGAACAGGAAGTAGAAATTCGCGACTCGTCTGAACTGCTCGAAGAGGCCTCGCGGAATGAACGTGTACCACGTGTACTTGGTCGTTGCGATCTTGTTGCTGCTGAATCTAGATTCCTCGTTGCTGTCAGCATCGTTAATATAAAAGAGCCGGTCCTCTCGCTGCTCCGGCTTTTTAAAGAACCTTCGTATTTCGTCGAAGAAGCCCGTCATCTCTGCTGGCACTAGTTGCGTCAGATACGAGCTTCCCTCAAGAGATTAAAGTTATTCACTGCCTGATAAGGCAGTTAGAGCAATTGCTATGTTTGCCGGTAGTGTACAGGCATGGTAACTGATGTACCAGCTAGTAGTGACTGACTAATATAATCAAACACAAATAGCGAAAATGCGTCGAGACCCAGGAACGAAGGTGAGCTGGTAAGAAACAACCTCCACCAGGAAAGGACGCCCTCCAGACTAATATGATCTCCTAGTCCGATTCGAAGCCAGCATGGCTGCTCATACAACTGTGTGGTCCCAATTCTTAGTACATGGTTCCATGGTTCGAATAGGCGGAGTGGACCCACCAGACTCCCCCTCTCAATAGTGGGGTTCACCCCAACAGACAAAAATGAGTCTGGGTGTGATGTGGTGTGGAGTGGTGCAGGTGGGGGGGGGGGAATCTTGTACAGTACCATGAACAGAACAGAGGAGAGCAGGTGTGCCGTGGAGGGGAGGAGGAGGTGAGATGCCGGTGACGTCAGTGAAGCGAAAGCGAAGCGTGCTGCTTGCGGTTCGGGATCGGCACTGACACACTTGCAGGGAGCCGCAACAGAGAATTGTTCGACTGACACTGATCTTTTACTAACATAACTCCTTTTACGATTGTTATATAGAGAAGGCTAAGTAAAGAACAGAATTCAGAATCTTAAATTGTTTCATACCTGCTACTGTTATGAGTGCAATTGACCGAGCGAGCGAGAATTGCACTATCGAAGCAAAAAGGTACATCGAGCGAAGGCATGGGCGAAGAATATATAGCGAAGCTAGCGTAGTAACGATAACGCGAAAAATTGGGGTGCGCTACGGGCCAATTTTTCGCGTTATCGTTACTACGGGCCAAAAATTGGGGTGCGCTACGGGTGATTACGGTAAGTAACACCCTAGGGTCTTACTTTAAATACAGCAAAAAAATGGGGGGGGGTCTTCTCATAGGAAAAAGCTACATACCACCCGGGTGCATATATATGACATTTTTTTAGTGTAAGCGTTTCTATAAATAGGCAGCTTGGGTGTTTTCAAGGTTGGTTTAGCATCACAGTTGGAAGCGAGATTGTCAGTTTCGACGACAACATTGACTCCTCCTTGAAGTTGCGAGGTGGCACCTCTTTGGCCACTTGATAGCGAAAGAACTACCAGTGTGGCAACAGTGAAAAAGTGGGATGGAGGTGACCCCAGCAGATACTTTCGAAATTACCATGTAATTTCGTGCAAAAAGTGATCGTCGCGATGTCCCCCCGTCATTGCATATACTCGTTAACACCTAAAATAAGGCACTCTGTGTAAAAAAGGGGGTGTTACAAAAAATCACCCCAAAAGGGGGGGTATAGTACAAACGGGGTCAACTATAACACCCACCCCGCACAAGCCACCCGGGGGGTCTACAATTTCGGCGGGTGGTATGTCCGGGTGATTACGGTAAGTCGGTGTGCGGTCCTTCCAGCGGATCAGGAACTCGGTCTTGCGAGCTCCATGTGGGTCACGAACTCGGTGGCTCAAGATTTTATCTGGTGTGATGACTGGCCCCGTTGGCGGTCGTGTCATGCTGGCGGGGCAGTTGCGAGGCAGTTGGCTGGTGGAGGGGACGTGTGGGCGGAGTAAGCTGACGTGGAACGACGGGTTGACACAACAGTCAGCAGGGAGGAGGAGGAGGTGGGCGGTGACGGGTGTGATCATGTGGCTAATGTGAAATGACCCGCAATATCGGGGCGGAGTTTTGGGGTGATGGGCAGACGGAGGTTTTGGGTATCGAGTAGAACAAGGTCGTCGGGCTGGTAAGTGACGGGACGGCGGTGGCGGTCGGCGTTGCATTCAGCGATGATGTTTGATTTTTTTATTGCGTCTGCTGCTCGGGTCCGTGATGCTTGTAGAATTTCTGCAAACTGTTGCGCGCGTGGCACCGGGTTGTCGGGATTCGGGGTCATGGGTACTGTGGGGTCTTGTCCGCAGTTCAGGTAGAATGGCGACTATTGGGTCGTAGCTGATGGAGAATTGTTGTATGTGAATTCGATGAGTGGCATTTGCTGTTCCAACGTGGTTGGGTCGTCGCACGTGGCTCGGATTAACTGTTTCATGGTCTGGTTTGTCCGTTCTGTATGTCCATCGGTTTCGGGGTGGTATGATGAACTGAACTGTAGTCGTGTGCCGAACTGCTGCCAGAAGTTCCTCCAGAAGTTGCTGGTGAATTTCGTGTCGCGGTCGCTAATGATTGCCGCTGGTATACCGTGCAGCCGAATGACTGTGGAGATGAAGAGGCGAGCTGTTTCTTCGACTGTGATTGTTTTTTTGCAGGCTGCAAAATGTGCCATTTTTGTCAACCGATCGATGACGACCAGGATGGCGTCGTTCCCACTTCCTCTGGCTGGTAACCCCATGATGAAGTCCATCGTCACCTGCTGTCAAGCACGCCCTGGAGGTGGTATCGGCTGGAACTGTCCTGCCGGCCGCTTCCATGATGATTTCATGAGTTGGCAGGTGGGACACGATGCCATGTGTAGTTGCATGTCGGTCAACATCTCGGGCCAGTAGTAATATAGCTGCAGCTGCTGCCGTGTTTTTTCTACTCCAAAATGACCTTAGGTAACCCCGTCGTGTGCCTCCTATAGTAACATCCCCCTTAGTAAAGTGAAGCCTGGTACCCAGATGCGAACGGTGCTAGCTTTTACGTGATAAACCCCCTTTGCTGCTTCGAATTGCTTCGAGTTACATCCGGTAAAGAATGGGTCTGTTTGGTAGCCATGGGTAAATAGTCCTGTAAGCAGTGGGCTGGTCTGGGCGAATAGTATGGCGTGAAGTTGGGCAGTGGGGCGGGTCAGTGCGTCGGCGATGTTTGATGCCCCCTTTTTGTAGGTGACCGTGTAGTGAAAATTTGACTCGAGGAAGTCGAGCCAACGAACCTGTCGTGGGTTGAGGTGGGGCTGTGCGCGGAGGTACTGTAGTGATTTATGATATGTTCGTACTTTAGCGTCTGCGGTGGTCAAGTAATAGTGCCATACCTTGAACGCATGCACGATCCCGAGCATTTCGCGGTCGTGTACCGGGTAGTTTTTCTCAGGCGGATGCAATTTTCGTGACTCGTATGCCATGGGCTGTAGGCCGTTGCTGAAATCCTGTAGCAGTACGGCTCTATCAGAAAGAATGAACAAGAATGAATGAACTAACAAATAGTTGGGTACAAGTACTAACCCTAATTGGGTTGTACCCCTTATGGGCTACCCCACTACAGCCTACACAAATGTATAAGCTATAATGTTCTGACACATCCCCATAGGCAAAGTGGGGGAGAACAAGTGGTCACAAGACCAGTCAAGAAAGCAAAGCAAGCTCAGGGTGGATCACAAAGTCACCACACAGTCCGAGCACAAGCAAAGGGCCACAAGGCCAGTTCACATGCAGAGTTATATAAAGAGAACAAACAATACAGTGATCATACCCTAGCAAGTGCAAGCATGCAGGTATATATATAGATCACAGTACAAGCAGAGTCAAGCAGTAAGCAAGTGAGGCAAAGTAGGCACAAGGCCTAACACAGTAGCAAAGCGCTGATGATCACCAGGCGGAAGTGCCTTGGTGAAGACATCAGCAGTGTTGGCCCGAGTGGCCACGTACGCAAGAGGAAGCTGGCCACGCTGCTGCAACTCTCGAGCAAGGAAGTATCGCAGAGCAATGTGCTTCGTTTTGTGCTCTAGTCTGTGCTCCTGATACAAGGCAATCATGGCCTTGTTGCCTACGTACACAACTGGAAGCGAATGAGGCTGCTCTCCCAAGTCAGTCAGCAGGTAGGTGAGCCAGCGTAGCTCCTGAGCAGCCATGGCCCTTGCGTAGATCTCAGACTCACAACTAGAGCTGAGAACCGAAGACGAGCGGGTAGACCACCAAGAAACAGAGCCGGAACCAGGGCTGAAGGTGTAACCCTGTGACGACCGCTGCGTAGCTGAGTCGTCAACCCAAGAGGCGTCTGCGTGACCAGTGAGAACAACTCGACCCCGTCCTCCAAGCACAAGCCCCATGCCCGACGTACTGCACAGGTAACACAGTACCCTCTTCGCAGCATCCCAGTGCACCTTTCGGTGCCTACCGGGAGCCACGTAGCGAGCCAGAAGGCTGAAAGGGTACACGAGGTCAGGTCGTGTGCACGTCATCAGGTACATGAGGCAACCCACAAGCTCTGGGTACGGACCACTCGGCTCTACGGACTCGTCCGAAGGTGGAGCTGAGAGCGAGTGGCTGTTAGACAGAGGAGTGGACTGTGGCGAGGAGAACTGGAAGCCGAAGCGCTGAAGGACTTGGTGCACCATGTGTGACTGAGTCAAGGTGATGGTGCGCCGTGCTCTGTCCCGGGTGATCTGCAGGCCAAGATAGCTGCGCAGTTCACCTAGGTCAGTGCAGGTGTGTCTCTTCTGCAGCTCGGACTTCACAAGGGTCAGTGCCTCAGTGTC